TGTATTTGTTAATTTACGGTCGATATATTATGTTTTAGATTTTGACACTTAGCATTGAATCCTTGCTATCAGCCGGAGGTAGAGAAGATCGGGATATAAAAGTTTTAAATAAATAAATAAATAAATAAATAAAGGCTCTTGGCTGACTTATAACCCCCTTCCCCTGTTCAGTAATGGGTGTTGCTGTGAACCATCCAAAAGCTCTCTTAGCCTTTCTCCAAGGCTAAGAAGGACTGGTTTCCATGACCGAACAGGTATTCGGACCCTCGTCTCCAAGAGTCCGAGTCTGACACTGCAAGCGCAATGTCACTCTAGCTCTAGCCCAGTCGTGAGGCAATATATTTAATCTTATTTATTTGTCGTGTCAGAGCAACCAGTCCATTATATTACATTTCTAACAGAACAAAGCAAACAAACAGAAAAATACACAACTTGTGAGTTTGGTAGCTGGTTAAATGTCCTTTGACCAGTATCTGGCCACTTGGAGTGCTTCCGGTGTTGCCCCAAGGAGGTCCTCCATTGTGCATGTGGCAGGGCTCAGGTTGCATTGCAGCAGGTGGTCAGTGGTTTGGCTCTTCTCCACACTCGCATGTCGAGGATTCTACTTTGTAGCCCCATTTCTGAAGGTTGGCTCTGCATCTCGTGGTGCCAGAGCGCAGTCTGTTCAATGCCTTCCAAGTCGCCCAGTCTGCTGTGTGCCCAGGAGGGAGTCTCTCATTTGGTATCAGCCATTGGTTGAGGTGCTGGGTTTGAGCCTGCCACTTTTGGACTCTCGCTTGCTGAGGTGTTCCAGCGAGTGTCTCTGTAGATCTTAGAAAACTATTTCTTGATTTAAGTCGTTGACGTGCTGGCTGATACCCAAACAAGGGATGAGCTGGAGATGTCTCTGCCTTGGTCCTTTCACTATTGGCTGCTCCTTCCCGGCGGATGTCAGGTGGTGCAATACCGGCTAAGCAGTGTAATTTCTCCAGGGGTGTAGGGCGCAGACACCCCGTGATAATGCGGCATGTCTCATTAGTGTGGTGAGATGTGTTCCACACTGGGCATGCATACTCAGAAGCAGAGTAGCACAGCGCAAGGGCAGATGTCTTCACTGTATCTGGTTGTATATTTAATCTGAAGCTTGTGGACAATTTAGGCCTCTCAATTTAACATTTTAACACTCACTTTAACTGCAATTTACTCCTGTGTTGTGTGGCGTAATGTAAAATTAAACCACGTGTAGTGCACGTTTGATCAGCCCACACACTGCCTTGCCACAGAGAGAAGATATGCCATGCAGGTGAACAATAAAGAACAAGTAGTTTGCTCTTTGTAAATCTGGAACAACATATGTACAATGTGATCAGTTGCATCAACTCACAATCTGTCCTTATATGAGAGATTTAAAATAGTTTTTCTTTTTGTCCATGTGGATAAACTTCATCAGCTGCTTATGAAGCGAGAGCACACTCCGAACAGTCTCTCTCTGCTTCTCTCTTCACAAACTGTCTCTCTCTCTCTGCAAATGCATAGCTCAAGCCTGGACAAAAATGTAACTGTATCCAAAAGTTCCAGGCTCAGCCATCTCCCTGGGTATTGCCCGACCAATCAATGAAAGTAATGCATCTTACTTTCCAGTTGACACACACATATTAAGTGATTCCTTGCATACTCCAACATATCTTGAGGATTGATTTTTTTTAATTAATAGGGACAAACACAATGGAGTAGTAACCACATTCAAGGTTTTCTATCTTCTCATCCACTTGGTTTCCATTGGGTTGGAATAGATTTCCCCCCAACAAAGGATTCCCGCAGGCAGGAAGAAGCAAGGCTTTGAAGCTACAAGGCCACTCAATGCTAATCAAGGTGGCTAATTGAAACATTCACACCTGACTCCAACAGACAAGAGTTCTTTCTCCCACCCTGGACATCATTCCACAGATCTATAAACCCCACTTGCCTAGTTTCCAACAGACCTCACAACCTCTGAGGATGCCTGCCATAGATGCAGGCGAAACGTCAGGAGAGAATGCTTCTGAGACATGGCCAGACAACCCGGAAATCTCACAATCAGTTATTATTATAATTATTAATCCCATCATGTTTCTGCGATATCTGCAGCTTTGCATGAAATACAAAATGGTGTGAACTTTGCATGCCACTTTGACCTCCATAGGAGAAGGATGGGGTATAATTAAAACATCTCTTATAATCACAGCCACAGCCAGATAATTACAGTGTTTTTCTACCACAGCTTTGCCCTATGGAATCCTGGGATTTGTAGTTCAGTTCCTGGAAATGCCCTGAAGAGTTTTACTGGATTGTGCTTTACCAAACTTTTACAAACTCCAGGATTCTATGAGATATCACTAAGTCAAATAAAATGGTATCAAACAGCTTTTAAAAGTTACTTTTTTGGGCCCTGAGAGTTCCAACACTAGGAGTTATCACCCAAAGGTCAACTTTCCTAAGCTGCATAATTATGTCCCATGTGGTATGTTATTATTAATAATAATAATGTTATTATGATTATGTTCCCTCCTCCAAATTCTGCATAATTATGTACCATATATTATATTAATAATAATAATAATCCAAACTCTGCATAATTATGTCCCATACAGTATATTATTATTATTATTATTATTATTATTATTATTATTATTATATTCCCTCCTCCAAACTCTGCATAATTATATCCCATATGTATATTATTATTATATAATTATTATGTTATTATGATTATATTCCTTCCTCCAAACTCTGCATAATTATATCCCATATTGTATATTATTATTATTATATTAATATGTTATTATGATTATATTCCCTCCTCCAAACTCTGCATAATTATGACCCATATCGTATATCATCATCATCATCATCATTATATTATTATGTTATGATTATATTCCTTCCTCCAAACTCTGCATAATTATGACCCATATCGTATATTATTATGATATTATAATATTAATATGTTATTATGATTATATTCCCTCCTCCAAACTCTGCATACTTATGACCCATATGGTATATTATTATTATTATTATTATATTATTATGTTATTATGATTATATTCCCTCCTCCAAACTCTGCATAATTATGTCCCATACGGTATATTATTATTATTATTATTATTATTATTGTTGTTATTATTATTATATTCCCTCCTCCAAACTCTGCATAATTATATCCCATATGTATATTATTATTATATTATTATTATGTTATTATTATTATATTCCTTCCTCCAAACTCTGCATAATTATATCCCATATTGTATATTATTATTATTATATTAATATGTTATTATGATTATATTCCCTCCTCCAAACTCTGCATAATTATGACCCATATCGTATATCATCATCATCATCATTATATTATTATGTTATGATTATATTCCTTCCTCCAAACTCTGCATAATTATGACCCATATCGTATATTATTATGATATTATAATATTAATATGTTATTATGATTATATTCCCTCCTCCAAACTCTGCATACTTATGACCCATATGGTATATTATTATTATTATTATTATTATTATGTTATTATTATTATATTTTCTCCTCCAAACTCTGCATAATTATGTCCCATATGGTATACATTATTATACGATTTATTATTAATATCCTATTATGATTATATTCCTTCCTCCAAATTATGATTATATTCTTTTATGATTATATTCTTTCCTCCAAACTCTGCATAATTATGTCCCATATGGTATATAATAATAATAATATAATAATAATATGTTATTATTATATTCCCTCCTCCAAACTCTGCATAATTATGTCCCATACGGTATATTATTATTATTATTATTATTATTATTATATTAATATATTATTATGATTACATTCCTTCCTCCAAACTCTGCACAATTATATCCCATATGGTATATATTATTATTACTATATTATTAATATATTATTATGATTATATTCCCTCCTCCACAAAATTATGCCCATATGATATATTATTATTATATTATATTAATACTATATTATTAATATGCTATTATGATTATATTCCTTCCTCCAAACTCTGCATAATTATATCCCATATGGTATATATTATATTATTATTATTATTATTATTATTATTATTATTATTATTATGTTGTTATGATTATATTCCCTCCTGCAAACTTTGCATGATAATGTCCCATATTATATATAATAATAATAATATACTATTATTATATTCCTTCCTCCAAACTCTGCATAATTATATCCCATATTATTATTATTATTATTATTATTATTATTATTATTATTGTTATTTTCCCTCCTCCAATTAAAAGGACCCAATTTTTGACATAATTAACTATATTTTAGCAGCTCTGAGGCTCCTTCTATCTAATGGTCTGCTTTGAATTGCATTATATGTGACCACACTGCCATATAATCCGGTTCAAAGCAGATAATCCGGGTTTTATATGCCAGGGTCCAACTTGGCAGGACTTTCAGAGCAATTAGTGAATTTTGGGGGGAATGTTACTTCCTCGTGACTAGTCCACACTGCCATATAATCCGGTCCAAAGCAGATAATCCGGGTTTTATATGGCAGGGTCCAACTTGGCAGAACTTTCAAAGCAATTAGAAAATTTTGGGGGGAATGTTACCTCTTCGTGACTAGTCCACACTGCCATATAATCCGGTCCAAAGCAGATAATCCGGGTTTTATATGGCAGGGTCCAACTTGGCAGAACTTTCAAAGCAATTAGAAAATTTTGGGGGGAATGTTACCTCTTCGTGACTAGTCCACACTGCCATATAATCCGGTCCAAAGCAGATAATCCGGGTTTTATATGCCAGGGTCCAACTTGGCAGGACTTTCAGAGCAATTAGTGAATTTTGGGGGGAATGTTACTTCCTCGTGACTAGTCCATACTGCCATATAACCCGGTTCAAAGCAGATAATCCGGGTTTTATATACCAGGGTCCAACTTGGCAGAACTTTCAAAGCAATTAGAGAATTTTTTGGGAAATACGTTACCTCCTCGTGACTCTGTTGCTTCTCCTTCCTCCCAAAAGGGTACCCGATCTTCCTTTTGCTGCTCCCAGCCCGTCCACACGGACGCGGAGTTAATCGCGCGTTCGTCCCGCGAGGAGGGCCTCCTTCCGCCTCTGAAGGTTCAAACTCCCCCACATGCCATTGGCCAGGGCGGGCAGCCAATCAGAGTGCCGCCGCCGCCTCCCGAGCAGGACCGTCCGGTTCTGGCACTCTCAGGCAGCCAGCGTTCCATCGCCTCGGGCCACGCCCCCGAAAGCGCGCGGCGGCCAATCACGGCGCACGGAACCGAGCCCGGCGCCTCTGATTGGCCAGGGCGGGAAGCGGAGCCACGCCCGGAAAGAACAAAGGTGAATCAAAACAAAGGATTTGGGGAGTTGTAGTTTGGCAAGGTCTCAGAGCCAAAGGGCTGGGGTCTCACCAAACTATTTATTTACGGCATTTATATGCCGTCCTTCTTACCCAGAAGGGGAATCAGAGCAGCTTGCAAGATATATTTATTATTATTTATTTTTACCTTACTTATATACCGCTGTTCTCAGCCCGAAGGCGACTCACAGCGGTTCACAACAAATACGAACAGCAAAAATTCAGTGCTACAGTATAGAAACAGTTAACAACCTAACACATTACACAATTAATAAACAGTTACTACAATACCCATTCACTGTCGTCTCATCATCAAAAACATGTTCCAGATTCGTCGTCCATTGTTCCATTCCAGTGTTCATTAACCAATCATTGCACTAATTATTCGAACGCCTGCTCAAACAGCCAGGTCTTCACTTTTTTGCAGAATACCATTAGAGATGGTGCTAGTCTAATGTCTGTAGGAAGGGCGTTCCACAGCCGAGGAGCCACCACCGAGAAGGCCCTATCTCTCGTCCCCGCCAGCCGAGCTTGAGAAGCAGGCGGGATCGAGAGCAGGGTCTCCCCGGAAGATCTCAAAGTCCTGGTGGGTTCATAGGCAGAGATGCGGTCAGATAGGTAGCTTGGGCCCGAACCATTTAGGGCTTTAAAGGCCAACGCCAGCACTTTGAATTCAGCCCGGTAGCAGATCGGTAGCCAGTGGAGTTGGCGCAACAGGGGGGTTGTATGCTCCCTGCGCTCCGCTCCTGTTAAAGTCATGGCTGCCGAGCGTTGGACTAGTTGGAGCTTCCGAGCTGTCTTCAAAGGCAACCCCACGTAGAGAGCGTTGCAGTAGTCTAAACGGGATGTAACCAGAGCGTGGACTACCGTGGCCAAGTCAGACTTCCCAAGGTACGGGCGCAGCTGGCGCACAAGCTTTAGCTGTGCAAATGCTCCCCTGGTCACCGCCGAAACCTGGGGTTCCAGGCTCAGCGATGAGTCCAGGGTCACACCCAAGCTGCGAACCTGCGTCTTCAGGGGGAGTGCGGCCCCATCCAACACAGGCTGTAACCCTATGCATGTATATGTATATACATATACATAAACATATACATATTTGTTATTACATATGTTATATACATATGTGTTATTGCCCCAACTCTATTCTCCATCTTCATTGCTATGATACTCCACCTTGTTGACGGGAAGCTTCCCACCGGAGGGGAAGTCATCTATCAGACAGATGGCAAGCCAAAACCAAGGTTACAACAACATCTGTTATAGAACTCCAGCATGCTGATGACCATGTCGTCTGTGCGCATTTAGAAGAAGACCTACAAGCCATTCTAAACACCTTTGGAGAAGCATACACGAAGCTCGGCCTGTCACTGAACATCGAGAAAACCAAAGTGCTCTTCCAGCAGTCACCAACCAATCCCTCTCCAATGCCAGAGATACAACTTAATGGTGTAGCATTAGAAAATGTTGACCATTTCCACTCCCTTGGCAGCCACCTCTCCACCAAAGTCAACATCGAAACCGAAATACAACACCGCCTGAGCTCTGCGAGTGCAGCATTTTCCCAAATGAAGCAGAGAGTGTTTGAGGACCGGGACATCTGTAGGGATACCAAGGTGCTTGTTTATAGAGCTATTGTCCTCCCAACCCTGTTCTATGCCTGCAAAACGTGGACTGTCTACAGACGTCACATGCAACTCCTGGAACAATTCCACTGGTGCTGCCTCCGGAAAATCCTGCAAATCTCTTGGGAAGACAAGCGGACAAACGTCAGCGTGCTGGAAGAAGCAAAGACCACCAGCACTGAAGCGATGGTCCTCCACCATCAACTCCACTGGACCGGCCACGTTGTCCGGATGCCTGACCTCCGTCTCCCAATGCAGTTGCTCTACTCCGAACTTAAGAGCGGAAAACGGAATGTTGGTGGACAGGAAAAGAGCGTCTCACATTTCTCTCATCCTGGGTACCCATTGTGCACAGATCCATTGTGACCCACACGTTCTTGTGAATTGTCGATTATGCTTGAAAATTGTCTCTGAGTGATACGACAACCGTCCTGAATCAATATGTCAACCTTTTTGCTTGTGAAACTCTGTAGTTGCTGTAACAAGACGTCCAACTCTTTGTTTGTCGCACAAGTCAGATGTTCCCACCTCAACGTCTTTAAACTTGTAGGTTTTTTCAGGCTATATGACCATATTCTAGAGGCATTCTCTCCTGACGTTTCGCCTGCATCTATGGCAAGCATCCTCAGAGGTAGTGAGGTCTGTTAGAACTAGGAAAAGGGGGTTTATATATATGTGGAATGACCAGGGTGGGACAAAGGACTCTTGTCTGCTGGAGCTAGGTGTGAATGTTTCAACTAACCACCTTGATTAGCATTTAATGGCCTGACAGTGCCTGGAGCAATCTTTTGTTGAGAGGTGATTAGATGTCCTTGTTTGTTTCCTCTCTGTTGTTGTGCTCTTTAAATGTACTTGCCCAACGACGCACAATACTCACATCAATACAATCACCATAAACATCAACACAGTCACCATAAACAGCTTGCATTCTCTGATGAATCTCCTTTGGGGTGACACCTTCTGCTATCAAGAATTCAATGACTGCACGTTGCTTAAGTCACACTGACCGACCGTCTGCGCAGGTTTCCATACTTTGCACTTTAACAACACAACCGTTCAATGCTAAGGCTTCCCGCCAAAATGGAACTGTAGAGGAGAGTCTACTGAACAAGCCAGTGCCTGCTGCATACCAGTACTGCCAGCTCTTGAGGAGTTACACAGGTGGAGGCATTACTTTTCATTCAACCCTTGTAGTTTGGCAAGGTCTAAGAGCCAAACTGCTGGGACATGGTGATGGTAAATAGTGGTGTTCATTTTAATTAATGCAAATTATATTTAATTCTATTTCAGTGTTTGCATAGTTTTGGATTTTAAGTTGTGATGAAATGTTTTTAATGCCAGCAGCTTTGTTTGTGGAGGGAGAAGGAAGGTATAAAGAAACAAACAACTGCTGCTCTGGGCCAGAGTGACGAGAGAGGGGGCCAGGAAGGCAGTTCCACCTTGTCCCCTGTGCTATAATAATAATATAATATATTGTATATACATTTAATATTTATAATTATATGTATATACAATATATAATAATAATAATAATAATAATAATATAATATATTGTATATACATATAATATTTATAATATTATAATGTAATACAATATAATACTACTACTAATAATACGATATTATAATTATATATTTTAGATTACATGTACTACTGGAAACAAACAACTGCTGCTCTGGGCCAGAGTGACGAGAGAGGGGGCCAGGAAGGCAGTTCCACCTTGTCCCCTGTGCTATAATAATAATATAATATATTGTATATACATTTAATATTTATAATATTATAATGTAATTCAATATAATATTACTAATAATAATAATAAAATATTATAATTATATATTGTATATTACATGTCATATTACTAATAATATTACAACAATGGTATAGTACAATATAGTAATATATAATACTGATATTGTACTATGCTAATAATATAATATATTGTATACTAGCCGTCCCCTGCCACGCGTTGCTGTGGCCCACATGGGGGTTCTGTGTGGGAGGTTTGGCCCAATTCTATCATTGGTTGGGTTCAGAATACTCTGTGATTGTAGGTGAACTAGAAATCCCAGCAACTACAACTCCCAAATGTCAAGATTCTATTTTCCCCAAACTCCACCAGTGTTCACATTTGGGCATATTGAGTATTCGTGTAGAGTTTGTTCCAGATCCATCATTGTTTGAGTGCACAGTGATCTCTGGATGTAGGTGAACTACAACTCCAAAACCAAAGGACACTGCCCACCAAACCCTTCCAGTATTTTCTGTTGGTCATGGGAGAACTGTGGGCCAAGTTTGTTCAATTCCATTTTGTCTGGTTTGCCCACTTTGGAACATGCAACATAGAATTGTCCTTCTTTAGGGGTCCCTTTCAAATCTATGGTACTATATCTGTCATAAACGTGTGTGTGTGTGTGTGTATGTGTGTGCACGCGACTCATCTATATTTATCTGTATCTATGGCTGGATGGTTCTTTGTCAGGAGGGCTCTATGTTTTCTTGCTCTGGTGAAGGGAGTTGGACTGGATGGCCTTAAGGCAGCATTTCTCAACCTGGGGTTGGGGACCCCTGGGGGGGGGGGTTGCAAGGGGGTGTCAGAAGGGTCACCAAAGACTACCAGAAAACACAGTATTTTCTGTTGGTCAGGGGAGTTCTGTGTGCCAGGTTTGGTTCAATTCTATCGTTGATGGAGTTCAGAATGCTCTTTGATTGTAGGTGAACTATAAATCCCAGCAACTCCAACTCCCAAATGACAAAAACAATTTTTTTGAGGGAAGGACATACATTGGGTAGTTAGGTGTCTTGTGTCCAAATTTGGTGTCAATTCGTCCACTGGTTTTTGAGTTCTGTTAATACCACATATCTATCTATCTATCTATCTATCTATCTATCTATCTATCTATCTATCTATCTATCTATCTATCTATCTATCTTGTAAGCTGCTCCGAGTCTTTTTCGGGGTGAGAAGGGTGGCATATAAATGTAGTAAATAAATAAGTAAATAAATATAAAGAAACAAACAGCTGCTGCTCTGGTCCAGAGTAGAGGGGGGGGGGGGCAGGAAGGCAGTTCCACATTGTCTCCTGTGCGATACTAATAATATAATATAATAATATAATAATATAATAATATAATATAATATAATATAATATATTGTGTATACATATAGTATTTATAATATTATGATGTAATACAATATACTACTACTACTAAT